GTTTATAGTGCATTTCATCAAATTAATAAATAAATGAATGTGAAAATCATAATTTAAACACAAATAATAGTCTCGCTACTTAAGATTTCCAATTACTGCTAGATATACATGTATCATAATAATGGTGACCTGGCACAGGGATCTTCTATTTATCTTTTTCCATTGATGCTTTGTACTACAAAATGTAGCCAACCGAATATACACTGGCAATACTAAATTAGTGTCTCCTCTGTACACATACATTATCTTCAGTAAACAGTGGAATAATAAAGAACCAGTACTTATTGTACTGATTATATTTCTATTTTATGGGGAATGATTTGCTCAAACCAGTTGTTTTGTGGTTAAGGGAAAAGCATATGGGTGGGGTGAAAGATCAGACAAAGTTAACATGATGAACTACAACTATATGTATTTGGGAGTTTTCACAATCTTTCTTTCATGCTCTTTACTTTGCAAACTGGAAAGTTGTATACAGTCAAAACCTGGTGGTCAAATTTCTTCTAACGTCATTAGTAATTCATCTTCCAAAATATCAGTTAACAGCATAAATGTTGTTTTGCTCCAGGAGGTAAACAAGATTAAACTGTTTAAAGGTATTAAATTGATATAAACAGGTGGATTACATTAAGCTTTATACTGGCCTGGACATGTATTATTTACTGAAGTCTCACATGATGCAATAAATACACCGGTATCACAGACTTGCCTTGTCTGATTACTTTCAAACTTCACACTTTCATTGTACATCTTGAAAGACATATGCACATTCATTTATTTTTCATTTTTTCAAGATGGCTAAATGTGGTCTTGATGTACCGGTACATCATTTTTCAGATTGAATCCAAATTGCCAACAGGCGGCCATTTTGTTTTAATGAGCTCCAGAGCCATATCTTTGACATGTTCAGACTCGTATCACATATGTTTTCATGTATTTGTTTGATGAACCGAGAAAGAGCCAAATAGCCATTTTATTATTCTAAATGACATCTCTAAAGATACATTATATTATTCAGGTAAACTTGCATCAAAATCAAGCATTTCTGTCTTTGAAGAACTGAGTCTTGATCATACATGGAAAAGTTTTACATTGAACATAATGGGACCTTGATACACATTTTGTTTTTTAGATTAAATTCAAATGTCTGACTGGTGGCTATTTGGTTTAATGATCGCTTTTCTAGAGCAATATCTTTGACATGCCTTGACCATTCATGTTCAAAATTGTTATATTCCTTAAACTTGTTGACTGTAATACAATTACTTGATTACTAAAATATACTAATGAAAATACTAGGACAGTAAATGTATATTAACACAAGTAGGTTTATTGAACTTTCTCATCACTATTGTATATGTGCACTCAGAAGTATCTCAGATGTTGAATGTTTTTTCTACACAGTGCTTTACACAATAAACTTAAGATTGATAATTCTGCCCCAAGCAGTGTGCGAGAGCATGGCAGTAACTATAATGATTGCAAGTTATTAATATGCTAATTATGGACATAGGCTAGAGAGAACTCTTTCAAAGCAAATTATTTAAGAGATAATCACTGTAAACGAGACATTTGTCAGAAAAAAAGCTGATGATAAATACCAATAGTGCAATATCATTGTTATTTTATAATTTATTTATTAAAGTATTAATGTAGGTAGGAAGGAAGTAAGAACAATACATATACAAAATAATGGAGCTAACTACTAGTATGCTTATAACATGATTTCCTCTCCGTGTGAATATACTCTCATAACATCCGCAAAATTCACCTGTACATTCTACTTACTCAAAATATTTTTTGATCAAGCCAAAAATTACAGGTACTTTTTGGCTTCTTTTGTTATAGTTGGAATCAGATCTGTCTGACATTATTTCTCAGCATGTCTTGACAAATTTTGTTGATAAAGACACGTCATAATAGAGTATATTGATTTGTTTTTCATTTTGTTGGCCTATGACCAACTGACAACCAATTTTGTTTCAAAAATCAACATTTGAACATGTCATTAAATGTTTCTGCAAGATAAACAGGAAATGTAACTTTCAGTGGTGAGAAATATGAAAAGGTATTGATCAAATATAAAATTATTGGAATAATTTGACAACATCTTAAAATTGTCAGATAAAAATCTTAGCATGTTGTTGATGTGAATGTATTGATTTTCTCATGAATGTATTCCACCGTCGATCTGCATTTTCTTGTCACTCAGCTCGTCTGCACCAGCCTCTGTGATTGCACAATGATATCATGTCTCATAGTGGAATCATGAGACAGCAAATGTATAAATGTATTTATATAATTGTCTGGTTAATCATAGCAAATAAAAAATTTAAAGATTGTAAAAGTTGATTAAAATATCTGTGTTTGTTCGCATTTCAGAACGCCTATGATTGCTGGTGGGTTGTTTGCTATTTCCAAGTCTTGGTTTGAAGAGTTGGGGAAATATGATATGATGATGGATGTATGGGGAGGCGAAAATCTTGGTAAGGTTTCCTTTTTAATTCCTTTAATTTAGTTTTAATATACATTTTGTATGTAACTGTATCTGGCACCGGATTTGTGTTTTTTTCACTGTACAGCATAACTTGATACATAACTATAAGAACTTGGAGGTTAGATTACCAAGCTATGGTGATGCTATGAACAGAAATTTGTTATATACTACGTGTTGAAAAATTGACTGATTTAAGAAATTTTTAAATGGACAAGTAACATTTTGAAGTCTAAAACCCCTGCAGTTTATTCATTAGGTATTATCTCCTTGCTCAAAATCACTAAAAATGTTTAAACAATATTCCTTTAGATTACATAATCATTTGTATATTAGTCATTTTAAATTACACAATTGTCAGCAGTCATTTAGTTTGAAACCTTTGACAAGGAATATATGTAATATAATAAATAAATGCGATAGTAAATGGTATTCAGAAGACAGAGTGTATGTTTTTAGTTCAATATAAGCCAATACTGGTACTTTCCTTTTTATTTTTTACAGAAATTTCATTTCGTGTGTGGCAGTGTGGAGGAACATTGGAAATCATTCCATGTAGTCGTGTTGGTCATGTCTTCCGTAAACAACATCCTTATACATTTCCTGGTGGTAGTGGAAATGTATTTGCCAAGTATGTATCTCAACATTTTCTATTCAGTCTAATTTCTGGCTGTGGTACCTAATTAAAGACACATTACATATATTATTCATGTTCCAATAATTTAGGTGTATCATTTCAAATGTGAGATTACCACTTACAGACAAAAACTCTTGTGTTCTGTGTTTGTCCCCACATGACTAGAAAGTTTCTGATTTCTTTGTAGGAATACTCGTCGTGCTGCTGAAGTCTGGATGGATGAATACAAGAAATATTATTACTCTGCTGTGCCTTCATCTAAGAATATTGCCTTTGGAAAGTATGTGCAGTCAATTTCTATTTCACAAAATACATTGTATACATAATATTTTTATTCTCAAGGCCATATTTATAACTCCTGTGTGCTGAGCACAAAGGGTGGCTAATGTCATAATTATGTCTTGATGGGTGGATGTGTGTGTAAAATCTTGTTCTACCAATGTCTAAAAAACCAACTAGGTGGATTTGAAGGAAATTTGATATACAGATATTTAAGGATGAACTGATTTTAAACAAATCTACATATTAATTAGTTACTATCTAGACTCACTAATTAGCTTAATTAAACCCCCATTCTGACCATATAATGGACATAGAACAAAGGTGATATTAATGTCTCTAATTATTTCATAAATATTATTTCATATTCCAAATTGAATGTGCGTAATTTGTTCAATAAACATCAGCAAATATTGACTTCATTTTAACAGGAGCATTTTCTAGCATCTCTATTTGAGCTGTTTCTGCTTTTCTTAGCGTGATTTCCTACATGATTTCAAAATGTCAATGATAATGTTTAATGAGGGATGAGTTGTAAAAATTATTGACTTGAAAGCTATCAATATATTACGTTAATAAAGTGCCTCAGTATATGAAACTACATGCGTCATATGCCGCTATAAACAAGGAAATAATTGATGTGAATAGCAGTGGGTGAGTGGGTGGGTGTGTGGAAGCTTGCTGTTATCACCATTTAAATTAAGTCTACAATGATACATCTCAAATTAATGTTTATTGTTATCTTCCTTCTAATGACATTTAATACAGTGTCTTGAATTCAAAATCTGTTCAGAGGAAATTCAGTTTCATGCTGCGTCAAAATATATACCTTTTTACTTTGCTCGTATTATCATAAATTAAATGGGGGGGGGGTATCTGTCCTCGTTTTTGTTGTCAACTCTGGGATAAAGTTTTGTAATTTTTATCTAATCTGTTTTACAAACTTGCATATATTATTAATCAGTGCGGAATCTTAGTATGTCTCCCAGGTACATTACAGATATTGGTGAAAGTGTAACTTAAATTAACTTCTCCTTGTGGTTACAATATTCAAACAATTTTTATCTCATCATTGTCAAATTTGGAAATCTTATCAATCACCATAAAAAATTAATCAAGTTCAGTTCTGGTGTGACTAGCATTTCCAATACATGACAATTTGGTTAAACATATTATGTTGACATAACCATAAATGCAGGGAATGAAAACATTTGTTGATAATGAGAACCAGATTGCAGTAATATACTCGCCAAGATATCCTCTATTAGTAGCAATTAATAAACACATATGCTGTTTTCATAATGTTGCATAAATCTTTTTCTGGTCTGCTGTACTATATTTGAAAACTTTTATGCAATTCATGTTATATTATTGTATAAGGGACCTTGGGACTAATGTATTGTACATTTAGCATTAAAGGTACAAATTGTTGTTGTGCGTATGGTCAGAATTAGATAATCACCAGTGTGATAGTATAGTTTGAGTTCATCTTCATGTGTTAATGGTTGTTCTAAATTCCCAATGGGCAAGGTTGTAATAGTTACTAGTACGCTACGTTCATATTTTGCAGATCATAAATCTATAAAATGTTCATCTAGTTTATACGTTTCAGATCAATCTAGAAAATGTTACTTAATCTGCATGAGCTCTAAAGGTCGCACATCCTGGTACTTTCTAGGAGTACCAGTGTTGTATATTAACTGTCCCATTGAAACACATGAATAGTTACAGTGATTTAGACTTAACAAATTGATAGCTACCTTATAGACTCACTAGAGTGCTAGTTTGATTTATTTATTTCGTCTTCAGACCAGGTGAGTCCATCTGATCAAAACATTGACATTGCTATTTTTTTAACACTCTCAGAGATGAGACAACACTTCACTGACTGCAAAACATTATTGTAAATCATTTGAGCTGTAAAGACTATTGATATCATATTGCAACCTGACATTTCTGCAATGATTTTAGTTTTAGTTATCCTTCTGTGTATTAAAGGAAAACCTATTACAGCAATCACTTCCACTGATTGCAAGAATTTCAATGCCAGAATTTAAAAATTCTTCCTGATAGGAAATTTGTCTTCCAGAAAGTAGCAGGATGTGTGAATAAAAAAAAAAACGCTTTACATACAGGCATTTAGTGAATGTTTAGACGCATGAATAATTAAAAAGAAGATTTTGTTAATATACTCTCTAATACAGCAAAGGATTATACAGTGGTTGTTACTGATACTTGAAATGAAATACTAGACAACAGATAGAATATCACCCTTCAGGCAAACCAGACTAAGATGCAGGGACACAGTTCATATATTACATGCATCAAAGATTAAACTGAATAACTTAGAAATATGAACACCGTCTTCATTTATTCAGTCATAATCTAATTTTCTAGAATTTTTCTTTCCATGTACTGGTAAAATAAAATTGATTGCATTGTGGTTTCCGTGCATTTATGTCTCATTAGCGTAAATTTTTTTGAGAGAATCTTTTGAGAATGTAAAGCACCTGAACCACTGACTTTGAAAGAAACATTACATAAAATGTTAACATTGATTCTCAAGACTGCAATTGTTTGAATTTAAAAAGATTGTAACACTTCAAAAGATTGTTATACAAATGTTCATGTTTTAATGAAAAAAGAAAACTGTTTGTGACATGAAACGTTGGGATAATTATATAAAGATCATCGACTGAGGGTGTTATTTTGACTCAAGGCGACTGGGTTCTAACACAACAATTTAACAACAATTGATTTCAGTATAGAAATTCAAATGTTATTGGAAATTATTTGTTTTGTATCTTTGGAGAATGTGCACAGACAGTAAGATTGCCATGGCAACAGTTTGCCAGTTTTCTCATCCATATATATCGATGTTCAGATAACTTATCTTCTAAAGTTATAATAACATGTTTTGTTTTGTAGTATACAAAGTAGATTGGATTTAAGAAAAAAACTACAGTGTAAATCATTTGGGTGGTACTTGGAAAACGTATATCCTGAACTCAGGTAAGTATATAACAAATAAATAAACCACGTGTATTGAAAATGCCATTCTAGGGAAATAATATTTGTTTCTTCCTTCAACAACATTCAGATCATCATGTAGACACTTCTTAAAATTTTGTGATAAGGAAAACACTTTTAAGTTGCAAAGTACGATTATGGTTACTGAGCCAGCTTTTTCTTTTCAAACAGAGCAAATGTAGAGACTCAAAATGGACATTCAAATTCTTGTAGAGAACCTAGCATATATATTATGTAAAATGTTTATTTGATGGTGTCTTGTACTGTTTCATACATGATTACCTTCCAAATATTGTCTATATCTTATACAGGATCCCAGAACATATTAA